CAAACAGTAATCATTTACTAACTACATAAGCACCTTGTATTACAATGATATCTTCAAACTTAAAAAACAAAACAGAAATGACAGAAACGTTCCTGTTTTTCTCTCAATATCTACAATAAAAAGTACACAACTTTTTCTGTGCTTTTACACATTCCCTCCTGCAATGTAAGCCCAAAGATATGGGATCAGAATGATGCCACCTTGAAATGAAACCGAAAAAAATATTGTAACTGAAATAAATGTACTGAAAAATCTTGTATTGAAATTGATAGCAAAAAACAATTAATTGAAACTGTAATTTTTTTTGTTTTCGCTTACAATTTTTTTTTTCAGTTTAAGTTAAGCCTTTGTGTCTTGTGATGTTTGTAACACAGCTAACTAAGAATATCTGACTTTTAAAGAATATTAACTAACATATGTGAAATGTATTGTTTTTTTTCTTAGTGGTGTTTTAGGTGTTGTTACTTCTATTTTTGTTAATATCACAGGTAACTGCTTAAATGACTTACATATTTTTTCTCAAGCTCTAGCTCACCATGCAGGACAAAGGTAAGTCCGTACTTAATGTCAACACAAATAAGTAGAAAAGGTTTAAAAATGATGTCGTGAACTGACTGTAGTCTCTTGTTTTTACATAAGGTATAGCCTGTGGCTAAGGGATCAGAGGTAAGGTAAAAACACATAACAGAAGAAAAGAGTAAATTAAACAAATCAGTGATCTGTGAATTCATCCTTTTGTCTTTGTCTTTTTGTCTTCAGGTGCTTTACACTTGTCCTCTCCCAGCATTCCAGACGGCGTTAACACAGAGAGATGCTCCACCCAGAAGACAGCCTTACCCCAACCCGATGAGAAGGATGGATGACCAAATGACAAACTGGAGAGTGGTGCTGTGTTCCAGCTATGTAAGTTATCACCTCACATTGGCTACAAACTTTCTTGAAGACTAAATCCTTCCAAAAGCTGGTGTAAATCATCGTCCTACAGTACTGTAGGTCTAAGTTTATTTATAGTTATTGTGTGTACATGTTGAGTTTAAAATAGCATTTTAACAACATGCTGCAGCTACCTACTATGGAAATGCTGTTTTGTGTTAAAATTACATCTTTCTTGTGTTATTGCTTTGCAGGGCAGCTGAGAGTGGACAGAGCTGCACAGAAGACCAAAGATCCACTCTCAGCACTTCATACCTGACTGGCCACAGCACCACCCCTCTTCACCCAGGGTGAGGAGGGTCCTGACCCCGCCTGCACAGAGGGAGTTGTGAACATGCACTTCTGTGTCGGTGGGTTTAGGAGCCTCCTCACACACACACGGATGAAGACTGTCACTGCTCCATTGCATCAACAGGACAGGACGTAAGCATTTGTATAATACCACAGTTTGTGATGCTTTATACATGTTTTTATTGCTTCATTTCAAACTAGGAGATATAAACTAAACCAGTTTTCATAATAGTTTCTGTCTCTTTAGTTGTTTTCTTAATAAGTTATTTGGAACATCATTGCAACCTGTCAGCTTTTTATTGAGGATTTAGAAAGTTGCTGGTGGCCCGAGTGTGTACAGTGGGGTGTTGTTTTTGTCACATGGTGAAAGTGACCTCAAGGGGAGCAAAAAGAACAACTGCACAATTTGGGGATTCACAGACTTTGGTAATCGTTAAAAAAATGAAGAAAAATTGTTCTGTGTGAACAAGAAGCTCAAATATAAACCTTACTGACACACATGATCTGCTATCTGTAAGCAGGAAAATGTTTTCATGAGCCTGGGTGAAGCTAATTTGTATGAGTTTAACCTCGTGGTCAAAAACTTTTAGAAGATTAATACGTTCACCCGCTGATTCTTACTTGGCCTGAATGTTTGAATGTTTGCAGTTTCAGGTCCTACTGATCAGTTTAAGTACTGTAAAAAGTGAGCAGCAATTTAATCGAGTCCTGGGATGAATTGGGACAAAAGGGTAATGTGACAGACACATTAGTTCCCTTCCCTCATTTAACAACGTGTAACCTGCAATTTACTGCATGTTGTTAGGCTGCATGGTACAACCACAGTCTGCTAACCACCAGTGGTGAGCGAAGGTTTTGAGGTCTTGCTCGAGCTACTGATAAAGTTTTATTAATGCTTGTTAAGTTTCCCAACCACATTTCATCCCGATGGTCCAAGGCTTACATCTTTAAGCTCACAAATATACTTCTGTAATTAATCAGTAACCAATTTATTACTTTAAGTTACAGTGTGAGGGGCATTGATGAACATAAATTAGATTTAACTGGATTATGTGTTTAGGTCAAGAGACACAGACCTTCATCTTCAAGAGGCTCTTCTTAAATGTCTGATCACGATGTTTGTGTTTGTCTGCAGCATCACTGCAGCAGAGAGGGTATAACACAAGGCCACAGTCATGTGGTATTCTGTCCTGCTATTAAGTGAATAAAATACTGAAAAAACATCTAGACACTAAATACAGTCACTGGCCACTTCATTAGTTACACCTTGCCAGTACTGTTTTGGACCTTCTTTCACCTTCAGAACTGCCTTAATTCTTTGTGGCGCAGATTCAACAAAGACCTGAAAACATTCCTCACAGATTTAGTTTCATATTGACATGATAGCATCACACAGTTGCTTCAGATTTGTCGGCTGTGCATCCATGTTGCAAATCTCCTGGTCCACCACATGCCAAAGATAATCTGCTGGATTGACATCTGTTATAAGATGAGTATACTGTGGTCATAAAACGATGGGCATGGTCAGCAGCACGGCTCAGGGAGGTTGTACCTCTGGAGAGGCCCCTTCCTACACCTGAAGATTTTACCAGTGAAAAGAACGGAGGTTTCCTCACAGTGTTTCCTAGTGTTTCATCAACAAAGGAGAATTTATTCCTTAGACTGTGCAAAATTTATTTCATGGTTATCCTGCTGCATTGCACTTCTTTTTTATATTGAGGGAAAACTGTTAATGATTTCTTACGATAAATCTTCGATTACGATAAATGCTCCAAGTGTTTTGAATAACTTGCTGTTGTTGTTTTAACTGCAGTGCTTTACGCCGTGGCTCTGGGCCAATCAGGAAGCCCACACGACGTTTTGCGCTACGCGTGACGTAGCACCTAGCGACTTCTCGAGTGTTGTACGGAAATGAGATGATTACCTTTGGTTCCTTGAATTTCACAAACGACAGAGGACTAAACGGGGATTCAGTGGAAAAGTAAGCCGAAGGTGTCTGACTACAAATCATTTTCAAACAGCTACTAATTCGTACTACTTTATCTAATAAAAGAATAGCGAGCTTACTCGTTAGCCGCCAGGACAACAAGCTCGCTTACTAAGCTATGATAACAACGAGGCTGGGAACGAAACCCGACTCCCTCTTCAGGTTGTTGACTTTTTTCCTCTTTCTTTTTCTGTTCTTACTAAATTATAATTTTATCGAGTGTACGTGGCAGTGTTTTCACAGACACTGTAATTACACAACAAATCTCGGTCAAACGTACAGCTAGCTAGTAAGCTGAATAAAAACAAAACAAAAAGAAGTCATCAAAACTAAGAAGTCACGAGAGCGTACTGTTGGGTGACAAGACAGCTAATGCTAATGCGTATCAAAGAGAAAGAGCCATGATTTAAATAGCCTTAATGCATTTTTAAGGCTATCAATATCATAATTCAGATTTTCGATAGGACAGCCATCGGTAATGTCTTCGGCTGTCTGTCTGATGTGGTTATAGATGTTACAGCCGCACATTTGCGCAGACTGGACGTTTTCCTGGTGATTGATTTGTCACGTTATTTGGTTCTGTGAAAAAACCTGAGGCGTACATGTAGTACAACCTGTTGTTTGGCTAGAAGAAACCGCCCACAACAGGTATGATTGATGTTGTTTTGCAGGTGTTGGAATCCACTGTGTATATGTCTCACTGGTGCAAAGGCTTTGATTTAACCACAGGGTTTATCTCACACAGATGGCGTCCAGTTAGTAAGGTGCTGTGAATTTGATACGTTGCTTCTGAATACAGCATGCAGATGATAAACACCAAGGCGCACTGATTCACAGATTGTCCTCACTAATGACACCTTTTTCTCTCCCTGTCTGACTCTGTCTGATGTTCAGGTCGCTTTTCCAATGAGGAGAACTCACCCCTTTGGCCCTGTGCATCACCCTTCCTCGCCATGGCAAAGCTCTATCTGCCTACTTTCCTCTTATTGATTTTTCTGTCCTCCTTCGTCCTCCTGCTGCTCATCCTTCTGACCCCTGTCACCCCCTCACTTCCTTTAGCGCCTGCCTCTGATCCCTCACTTTGGCCGTCACCCTCTTGCAGTCCAGGTCAGTCCTGGGCGGTTCGACTGCACACTGGTCTTGATCACAAGGAAGAAGATGGTGAACACGGTGCCGTGCACATGGATTTCATAGCCAACAAGGTAGAGTACTTCATTCATGCTTTTTCAGATTAGACTTAAGAGTTTGTTATTTGCTGTTGTTATTGTAACCATAATAGGCCATTTCATACACTTGCATTTGAACTTAACACATTCACATTCATTAACTTTTCATTTCACCAAACCTTTCAGTTGTTTGTTTTTTGCTCCCTGTTCGTATTCTCTTTTTATCCCATGGTCTCTTATCTATGTAGGGATTTGACAGGGTTTGTTTTACAGGTTCGCTGTAAAAATGCTTTAGCACCAAACAGTTCTGTGAAGCCTTCTCACTGCGATACTGCCCACAGAACTGCATACTGTTAGATCTTTTACGTTTTCCTTTTCTTCTTTTTTTTCCATTCACACAACTGATTGCATTTCTGAGCAACATATCCAACAGCCAGCCAGCCAGCTGTTGGCATAACAACAACTAAGCTACAAACACAAGAATGAGTTGGAGGACGCTGTGATTTGGAACATGTGTTTACTGAGTGTCAGGGGATTCATGATAATGCTGTAGTTGAAAATTAGAGATGTGATTTTGTTCACTTTTAAGATGCATAACATAACATTACAAGTGACTCAGTACTTACATGTTAAGTACCGTATACAGAGAGCTGCTAATCTTACACCGAGGCATCCTGCAGTTCCTGGTGCTGCTCCTGATTACCTCCAAAACCCAACTAACCAATCACA